GTACAGGTATTACTTTCAATTGTCATCCCACATACATACTCAGAAATGTACAATGCTCTGTTAACTTAAAAAATGCAATGAAGTTCAATGGTTAATCTGAAAGAAAAAATGTCTTGGCATTTTAGGCCAGAGTAAAGAGATTCCCATTTCTAGATGATGCCCGTTGCAGAATGGAACACGCAATTCTAGCACAAGTTGCAGTTATCCCTTAAACCCTCAGATAATGAACTCTCGGACTGCTGGCCTGATCCAACGGCCAATGAAATTAAGAGAAAAAGAAAAACTGAAACAGAAACGCCTTCCACTGCCTGTGAGAGGCTGTTCCATCAGGCCCGTTTCCCCTTTTTGCAAAAGGAAACGTGATACAGTAGAAAAACCATGATACAGCTTCAGATAAATACTTCATGTTTCAATGCTAAAACAAAAACAAAACCCAAGCTCCCCAAACCAGGAAAGGCTACTTATTAGAACAACTCAAAGTGACCTCTAGATCATTTCTGGTTTTAAATGTACACCAGCAAAATACAGCACCATAGACACATTAGGTTGAGACTTTTTTTGGTCAGTGAAGCTAGTACTTGTTGGCTGAACTGTGGAAGAATTGTAAGGTCATGTACATGATAAAGCAACCCAGCTGACAAGTCTCTGCTTAATTCAAGAATAACCAGTACTAGAAGTAAAAATGCAAAAACAAAACAAAACAAAAGAACAAAAAAACCCCTAATAAACCACCATTAATACTTTCTAAAGAAAAGGGGATTAGCAGATGAATTCACAAATGTATGCAGATTTATACAGAACACCAAATGTTGTGTGTAAATCCTTATAAACTCCAGCTTAAAACAGAAACACACAAATGTATAGTTTGACTTACACATTCCATTTCAAAGGAAAAGAGACATCATTACAACTTGGTAACTGTGCTAAATGCAATATAAACCAAACAGAAATTCAAAGTTTGGCAGATAACTAAGAAGAGGGTTATCACTTAGGTTATATAGCAAAGTGTTGATGTATATTACATAGAGTAGTATAAATAATAAAAAAGTATTATTTAAATTAGATCACAGTGCTGCATTATGTGCATAACAGTGTTTGATATATTACTGGAGGGCTGTGAAGAACACTACTAAAACTTAACTGGTCAGACAGTCAACACTGATATTCTGTTACAATCAAGAGGATGTATGGTTCAAATGCTCTTTTGGTGGCAAAGTCAAGAAGTTTTCAAAACACTTCCTGCAAAGTATGCCCATGAGCTGTTCAAGCAGCAGCGGGATACTCGAAGGAACGTCTGCATTCTCCATGAAGTGAAGTAAATTGCATTGCATCTGGAAGTAAATGCATTCTCTCTATACGTTAATCCTGGAGCACAGGACAGCAATGTTTGAAAAAACTGCTTGGGCCAGATCAAAGGAAAAATGGTAATAATAGAACAGTATAGATTTTCAAGAGCACCTGGATGTCTGTAGCTTCATTGACTGCAAAGGAGACGAGACACCCTGAGGTACTGGAAAATCCCAGACTGTGCCTATCTGCATGTTTAGATACAGAAATAATTCCAGAAAAATTAGGATCTCGATGATTTGGCTACTGAGAAAATGGCCATTTTATCCATGGTGCCATTTGGCATACAACTTAGGATTTAGTACGTTCAAGTATGTTGACACCCCTCTACCCCACTCTGGTGAAGAACACAGCCCACAGAGTTTCCTTGTATCTTTTGCAAAGGTAGACAGTAATTCAGTTGAACACTGGAAGCTGATGCACCTCCTTTGGGATTCTTTTCTCCCAATTTAAGGTAAGACAGGAGTCAGCCTGGACATCACTTGAATTACCAGTAAGAATACAGCCACAGGCTAGTTCTGCGGTCCTAACAGCATGTCTCATCAAATTGCTTTCAGAAACTGCTACGGGATGTTGTATTACAGCTGTTCAAGAACCGTGCCCAAATCTCTAAATGCAGGCAAAAATCTGCATCAAAATGACTTCTCATGAGAACATCCAACTGCTTGCAGCATGCAAACATGGCCAACAGATTTCACCTCCCTGAAGACTCCTGTGAAATCTGCTTGTGGCATCTGGACTGCAAGAGCTTCTCCCTGCAGAGGGTATATTCCAAGGAAACTCCTGGTGAAGTCTGAGTGACCCCTACAACACACATCCATACGAAACTTGCCACTAAACGCTTGCTGACCTACCAGGATTCCTCTAGTCCCCACCTGTTCTGGAGAACCATTAATTTGGCAATACTGTTAGGGTGAGGAAAACAGAAAGTTAAGAGATTCTATGACTTCTCACCCCAAAATGGCTTAGTAAAGAAAGGAAACAAGCAAAACCCAACCACCTCATGTCTGGCAAGTGAGAGAGCTTGTAATACAGTGCAATTACCACCCAGTTTTGGCATGACTCACTGTAAGGAGAGACAATTGGGTTGAGGAGATGACTTTTTTTTTCTTCTGGAAAAACACACTCAATTCTTAATAATAATTAAAACAAGATAGGACTTTTCTGATGAAGTATTACCAATTCTGACAAAGCTGCCATTTTTACCTAGCCACAAAAATGTTTTAAAAGGCGATTCATAAATATTTTATACAAGTCCAAATTATATACTTGTCAATAGTTAGAGGAAGCATCAAGTCATCTGTTGATTAGCACTCAGCCAAACTGTGAACTCCTCAGCAGATCAAATGAGGAGGAACACATGTCACATGAAAACAGACACCTGCCAACAGTTTACGTCTACCAGCAAGTATAAAAAGAAGGTGCTGAAGTCTTAGATAGATTATATATGTGTATACTCACAAAGATAACCTGCTTAATTAGATATTTATGCAAAATGACCAATTTCTAAGGTAATACTAGTGGTAATTACATATTTAGCCACCAAGAGTCCACATTAATGAATAGTACTTGCTGTGCAGCAGACACTGATCTTGTTTGCACTGATGTACTGCAGTCAGTAATAATGCTTTGCAATTAGTGTTTCGACTGGGCAGGATCTGGCCACCAGCAGACAACCACATCGCCTTCTCTGGAGGAAAGAAATGGCAGAGCCCCATTTTCAGCCATGAATTTGACTTTTAAATGTTGCTTTCTGGTATATATTAAAATACCTCCTCTGCAGAACAACTTATGCATTAACGAGCAAAGGTGGTGGCAAGCTCGTACTGTACTACTTCGTATTTCAAATGACTGCCCTCGAAGTTTATAAAACAATGAAGGACCAAATTCTCATGCTCAGGACTGTGTGGTTCAATGCCTGTGCATTCTGCCTACAGTCCAAGTGGCATGGGACTGTTGCAGCCCAATCACACCAAGAGGGCTCTATGGAAATGGAAAAGATTGGAAATCTTTTTTTTTTAGTGGAAAAATGGAAAGACATGGCTCATCCATCTCCATGCTCCATTGCCAACAGAAAACTTTGTTTTCCCCAACTTTATCTCAAAAGCTGTTGGCAGCCAACAGGTTTCATACCTGTGTACTCCAACTGTAATATGCTGGCCATCTCAGCTGTAATATGCTGCATGTCTCAGCCCCAGGACCAGCAAACAGGAGAGCACAGAGCTGCTCCCTGCACCATCCTTGGCTCCCTCCTTCCTTATCTGCATAGCTGGCAGTCATGTTGGGCTCCAGCAGCTGTCAGACAATCCTTGACAAGGCACCCTGGATCCCAGGGCACACTGAGTGAGATGGGAGGAGAGGCACAATTTTGGCACACTGCTCCCGGCATGGTCCTGTTTTTTGTATTACAAAACGTTTGTGGAGCTCGAGAAGGCTGCCAGGTCCAGCCCAGTCTACCGGTTGGTCTTTCCACTTCCTAACTGCATATACACCAAATGCAACTCTCCTTTCACTCCACTGAGAGGGAAGTCAGACCCTTCCCTAACTCACTCTGCAGGAATCAGATCCACCTTGGTGCTGCTGACTGAACAGTTTTTGGGATATACACCTGTATTCTCTATCAGAAACCATTTCATTTTGTTAAGTGGCAGGGTTTTTCAGTCCCTGGGATTTTCTCCTTGTCTATAGGATATTTTAAATATGGAGCTTTTTCATGCCAAAGTGACGAATCCAGGTGAGAGAGACTGCATTATCTATTTCATGGCTTCCTTGGCTGCACGGATCTCCAATCTAACAATCACCATGCCAGGAGAGAAGCACTATACCTGAATCACACCCTCTGTTGCACTGTTTTTTCTCAGGACACCTCAATAAGGCTGTTAATAACTTCATTTTCTCATGGCAAATTAGCAAAGCTATTTTCTTGTCTACTTATTCCTGAATCAAATCAGAGAGTTTTCCTCAATTATTCTCCCATTATTCTCTTGATTCTGTCATACACACTCACTACTAAACTTGCCCTCAGATTATTGCGTCATGTTACACATGTACAGACGAAGAAAGGACACACTTTTACTTTTTTTTTTCTTTTTTTTTCTTTTTTTTTCTTTTTTTAAGAGAAGTAGGGAGAGGGGGCTGAATGTGCAGACAAGGCAGTATAATTCAACCATCCAAGCCCTACCAGAGCATGAAGATTTTATTTTTTAATATTGCAGAGTAAGTTTCCCAACAGTCAGTGTTTGTCCCTGAAGAAGGTTAAACCTTAAACACCTGCTTCAAAAAAAAAAAAAAAAAAAAAAAAAAATCCACAAAGAAACAACCCAACAACAGAAAAGAACCAAAACCAAAACAAAAACAAAACAGAAACAAAAAAATAAAATAAACCAACCAAACTCTAAGCCTAAGGGCTTAAAAATTAGAGGCATAGCCTTTTTCTCTATTTTCTATATTTATATGAAAATAATTCATGCTTCATGCTAAATACATTATTTACCTTACAAGAACTTTGTCATCTTTGAATTAAAAAAAT